CAGTATTTAAGAAGGAAGAATTAAGACTGGGAAGCCACATCACCTCTGAGGCCGCATCCAAAGGAGATATGCCAGCCTCCCCAGCATCCCTCTGCTCTGTTCTCTGTTCAGCAGAGAGAAAAGCCTCTCCCAAAAGGTGCAATATTGTGCCTGGCGTGGCAACAACCAGGTACCTACCCTGCTGCTGAAGTGCACCAGGCCCCCAGAGACCAAGAAGAAAGGTGCAACGGGAAATATTTTGCCTGGCGTGGCAACAACCAGGTACCTACCCTGCTGCTGAAGTGCACTAGGTCTTCAGCAGGACCAAGAAGGAGAAAAAAAATTTAAAAAAAAAAAAAAAAAATCAAGAACTGGTCAGGTATGGATTTACAGCAAAGTCCTTGGTCCAAGTCAGCCCAGCCAGACTGAGTCCCTGCTGCAGCTCTTCCCTGGGACAGGCTGGCAGAGAGAACACGCTCACTGCCGCAGGAGAGCCTTCCCCTCCAAGTCACACACCTTCTTCCCAAGGTGTTATCAGATCACGAGAGGATCAGCTGTAATCTAATTAGCTCATAGCCATCCTCAGCCATCTCTGCATCATGGCTGGGAATTAGCCCTCAAACCCCATCTCCCCTCAGGATGACTCTGCTGCCGGGCTTGCTCTCACCTTCAAAAAGCAAATACACTTTACTTGAGGGCAGGGCTTATTCCAGCCACCACCTGCACTCACCAGCAAAGGACTCCAGAAATCAGTATTGGCTCCCCATTTTTACCATACTACAAGTAGTACTCCTCCACCCCCTAGTAAGGCAGTCCTCTCCATAGGCAAGAAGGCAGGGCCTGCTCCCAGACAGCCCCCTACCACTCACCTTAACCACCCCCTCCCTTATCTCACAGCTAAGCTCCATCCCCCTTGATGCAAAGCCTGGGCACTCACCCATAAAGCTCCTACTCACCTTTGAGAGCCCTCCCACTTCTAAGTAAAAGCAGATGATGAAGATGTTCCAGGTGACCCAAATTGCAGTCCAGATGGCATACTAGAAGGGAATGGGGGGGAGAGAAAGAAGCAATAAACATTAGGAAGTCACTGGAATTAGTTTATATATATGTGATGCAGCTGGGGGCAGTTAAATGCCCTGAGTCAGTACTGCAATCGTTTTCCCTTCCTCTGTTTGTTTCCCATACGCAGATGGTTCCTTGCCTGATTAGAGATACAGGGGCAGAAGTCTGGAGGGAGTAGAAAAGCTTCTGCCATGCTTTTGTCCAGCATCTGGTTCTCCCTGTCTGTTGTGCAGTATCTCGATGTTACTTTGGTACCAGTAATAATTATCTGATATCTTCCAAGTTCGGAGTAAGTACCGTAAAAGTGCAGCACACTGAACAGTGTGTTCCTAAGCACAGCACCTCCTGCTAAAATTGTATATAACGCTCGTGCCTGATTTCCCAAGGGCTTTACTGCGTTCCTCATCACTTGCCATATCCCACCAGAGCAAAGGCCACGAAAGGCTTTGAATGGCTCTGAACAAAATGAACATTACTTACCACCACTATGTAGCGAGGTCTATATTGAATAGTGCCAAACAGGCCAAGGATAACGATGATGATGTGGAGGAAGTTGGCTAGGATAGGGGCCCACTGGTATCCCAGGAAATCAAACACTTGCCTCTCTAATGCCGCAAGCTGGAAGGGAGAAGGAAAAGGAGAGTTACAGCTTTTGGGCTCATGATGTTTATTCTCAAGGTTTTGACGTGCTCCCTGAGCAAATCACTGCAGCGGCTGAAGATGTTACTCCATTCCCAAAGCAATTTACTGCCTATGAACCAGGTCAGTAGGACCGAACACGTGCCCACACGCCCCCCCTTCCACTTTGTACTCATCCCATCTCCTCCGATGGCTAAGCTAATGCAGACCAGTGAGCTCCAGTGCCTGTGTGGGGGCACGTCCTCTGTTCGGTGCGCTTTGCGATGGGGAGGTGGCCCTGGTAGAGGGCAGAGGTGAGCAGCGGGACTGTAACATCTTAAATGGCTGCAGCAGGACTTTCAAGAGCTCATTTGTCAAAGCCTTCAGCATCACTCCATCATTCCTGACACCTCTCATGTTTCTGCTCTCCAGCACACATCCATCAAAGAGAGAGAGAGGAGGAAACTCTCTCCTCCACCTTCGCCCCACAGAAAATGCTGCCACCCAGCAAAGAAATTCTGCAAACGCATCGGTTTTCCAGGAAGACAGGCTGTGTTCCTCTCCTGCACTAATAACATGGTTCAAGGCTAGTACTATGTTCCAGAAATAAAACTCCATTACTGTTGAAGTGCTGGGCCTGATTTTCAAATCATATTTGCATAAAGATGTGCTTTTCATCTGTAGCCATCATCTGTGTTTCAGCAACAACTGGTCACCTGGATCTGAACTGCTGTGTTACGCATGCAGCTGAAAAAGCACAATAAACGTGCAATTGCGTGCTAGCCTTTACATCCCCACAGCCTTTAAATATTACGTCCATAGGTGAAACAGTGAGTGGAGGGGGCAAAACGGTTCCTGCAGGCTTTTCCCCAGTGCCTGGCCTTATGGAGAGAGATCTTCTCTTTGCTTGTCTTCACTAACGCAGTGCAACCAACCTCCCCACATCGACCAGCGACTTTGCTACTGCTAAGGTACAGCAGGAGATTTCCCTGTCAGGGTAAGATTTCAAAGTCTGTTCAGTTACCGTAGTCGTATGCTGGGATTGCATTATTGCATTTCATATTTATTTTCACTTAAATAAATAATTACAATTTGCCATTGATAGTTAATTTAACTACTAATTAGACATTAACCATGGATGGTCGTAGTCCACTGCGTGTAATCAGCTATGTGGCATCTTTTCCTGGCTTCGCTTTTAAATGGCAGCTGGGGACCAAGCACTGGAGCATCTGGAAAGGCTTAAAGCATTTAGGGATGTGAGTGGTTGCAGGTCCCAGTCAAGCCGCACGATGAGGGATGCCGCATCTATCACGTGACCATTTTTCCTCCTTCTTCCTGCATCAGTGGGGAAATCGCCTTCACACCTCTCTTGGGCTAGAGAGGTATTGCAATTCTCAACACTACCTTGGAAGTTCAACAAAAATCTGTATTTCAGAGAAATCTACAGCAGCCCTGGCTAAGGGAGGTCAATCAGCGTGGTGATAAGCAGGTTTCCCTCTCTGACATCTCTCTTCACTGGCAAAAGGGGTGCAGAGAGTAGGGAGGCAATGAAGGCAGTCTCCAAAACTGTCTGTTCTGCGAAATAATTAGTCTTCTCTTTGAAGCAACGCACACTGCCCCGTTCCGATCAATGTGAACCACCTGGAAGATGCCGTGAGATGTGCTGCACGGCCACGCGCGGGGCTCCGGCGCTGGAACAGGGCAAATGCTGCTCATTTCACCGTTCAGCCTGCTCTCCCCCCCGAGCACAGCAGATTTTCTTTATCTCATCAGAAACAGCAGTAATAGGTTAAACGCTTAATCTTTTAGGAGGGGATTAACGCACATACCTTAACGATATTTGGAAATTTTGAATCCTGACTGGTTGGCAATGGGTCACTTGACTGTGACCGCATCATCCAATCAGGCATTTAATTGGCTTTGTGCGTTAGATTAACGCGGGAGTATGTGCTGCACAGAGCATCAATTAGCCGGGGGGACACAATGGGGGTGTGTTCCGCAGAGATAACGCCCTGCTCAGCTTCGCCTCTTGCCTTCAGGCCCTGAAAATGGGAAGAAGACAGATCCTTCCCACCCATACCTTCTGCCGTGAGTTTTCCCACTCCAGAATCAGGGCATCCATGTCTGGAAAAGTGTTTTCTTCTCACAAATGAACATTTGCCATTAGGGCTGTACAAAAGGGGAAAGCTTGTCCTTCCACAGCTTCGTGATGTTTCCTGGCTTATTTGGACCAGGGAAAACCAGTCTGTGAAGTCAGAGGTACCCAACCGTCCTGGAGATGGACCTGCCAATCTACACTGACTTCAGATTGGGGAACAGCTCCTAGAGAGGCTCCGGTCCCTGGCCACTCTGGATTTTTCCCCATGATCCTAGAAGTTAGCTTCATCTCATACTTCCCTCTTCCTTACTGTGATTGCCCTTGTCTCCAGGTTGTTTCTGTCCTGATTGACGTTCCTTTGCCACCTTCCCTGCATTTTTTTATGGTTTTGTGTCCCTGGGAGCTGCGGGCGTGACTCAGCCGGTACAGAGATGGGCTGTGCCTGCCTGCTAGTTCAGCTAAGGGGAGCGGGAGCCGGGTCGGTAGACTTCTGTGTCATGTGCGACCTCAGGCAAGCTGTTTCCTCATTTATAAAAATAAAAGCAATTTTCTGTAAGATGTGTGTTGATGACAAGCACAAATGCTACTGATGAAACTCTAACACTGTATTGCTGACGTGCAGGTAGTGAGGCTGTGCTGCAATCCAGCCGTCAGAAATGCAGCCTGAAGTTACCCTGGACTTGTCCCTGTTCCCCCTGGAACCTAGCATAATTAAGAAAATATTTGCTAAAAACAAACAGATAAACAGCCATTTCACTCATTACGCTACAGGCCTGTGTGCAAAGCTTACCCATTAAATGCTGCTGAGATTTGCAGGTAAGCAGGGCTGACGTTTGGGCTAAGCTGGCCTTGGTTTGGGGTTGGGATGTAAAGAATGTCGTGGTACCCTTCAGCCCTGGTTCCCTCAGCCTGGCTCAGAAATGGCGGGGTCAGGGTTTGCCCCTGCCTGCTGACACCGACATATCTGCACCCTCGTACTGAACCTCTCTCGGATCTCTCTGGTTGAGCAGGCGAAGTGCCATCTTTCTCTGCTGCTGCCAAGTTTCTGCAGAGTAATATCCTTGCTGTAGCGTTCTTTACGATGATTCACACTATTCTGTTGAGAAAGCCTATTATATTCTAGAGATATTGGTTGTAAAGAGAAATTTCACAGATTGTGGCACAGGTTTCAACCCATTCAAAACTGACAGGACCTTTCCATCAGGGAGGACAAATTTTTCTTCTTTATGACTATTCTTATTAAAAATGGGATTCCTTCTGCTCCTTTTGCTTCTCTAGCCCATAGAACATTTTTACCTTTCATTTTTTAAATTAAATGATTTGTTGCGGTACTACAATCAACATAGTTGTGGCAGACTTTTCTTTCCTGAAATAAACCACTTTTCTGCTGATCTGAGTGAAACTGGAATAGCAAATAACCGTGTGAAGCAATTGTTAGCCAGGCAAACAAAACAAGCCAAAGCTCTCTGTTGGTCTATCGTTCATTTATATGGCCGGGCAAGATAAGAAAGGCAGAGAAGATGTTCTGCAGTTAACAGAGTCCTATCACATAGCTCACACACAGTGAGCAAAGAAAGGCTTTGTGAGCCAGCACGACAGGACATGCTCAAGGTCTTTACACCATTAAAACTTCACCAGAGAGGAAAACCGTACCTGAGCTGGAGGGGAGCGTTGCCTGATGGAGCCCACTGCAGAATAGGAAAACGGTCTTAGAAAACATCTCAAAATGTGGAACAGTTTCTTGTTGGGGGGTTCAAACCATTCCAGTTGCATTTCAGATGGCTCTGGCAGGACAGCGTCACTGGCAGATGTCGATGCCAGCAGGACACTCCGAGCTGATTCAACATGGGCTGGGGGGTGCTTGTTTAAATTCTGGTCCCTCAAATCTTTTCTATCCCCTCATCTTTGTCTTCTGTTGCTCCCGCCATGCTGATAAGCTGGAGAGTTCAACCTGTTCCCCTTGTGCCTCCATACTGCTAAGGAAGAAGGGATGCTGATGAACAAGTCAGTTACCTGTAATTCTTTAAACTCGATGTCCTTTATAGCCTACTATCAAGGCCATGTTATCAGCCAGATTTGCTCTTCTATTAAGCTTTTAAAGCCTTTCATCTTATTTGGTTTGGATCTCTGTCTTTCACTGCATTTCTGAAATCAGTTGGGACACAAAATAACAAATATCACTTTCAAGATGTTGACGTGACTCATACAGATGCAGGAAAGATGCTCAGAAAGCCCAATGACAGGTACAGATACGCAAAGAAGATGTTCTGCCTACACACACACGTCCACATGTGTCCGTTCCTGCAAGCAAACCTGCTTTTACACTTTCCAAGTTCAGCTTTAATAAGAGATTTAAAATTGAACGTTAGAAATAAATTTACAAGCGTGCAAGAAATGGAGTGAACGGGAAAGGCTGATCCCACTGCTATGGGCCTGCCAGGACTTAAGGGAGATACTCCTGCAAAAAAGAAGAAAAAATGTTTTACCCCGAAACCTAGACAATTTTCCACTTGGCCTATAAAAAAGCAACTTGAAAACCCTTTTGCTACTCCTTGTCTTTCACCGCTATAAGGACACGTAGCCTCACAGACTGCTCCAACTCCTGCACTGCCCTTCTTCAGTGGTGTACACAGCTGCCTTGGACCCCTGCGTGCGTATCTACAGCTTCAACACAGACACAATTTGCAACTTAAACCCCTGTATTTACTTTCTCTCTAGTTTGAACTGAGAAAGAGCCTCAGCTGCAGCCCCCGGTCACCACCGCGCTCCTGTGATGTTCAGGGCTGCCTGGCTGATTCCCGACGCGTCGATTCAGCGTTTGATTTCCTGCCAACTGGCTTTGCTTTTTAAGAAGACGCTCTTTGTTTGTCTACTGTGCAAACACCATCGGAGCGGCCAAGACTTTCACTGAAAAAGGTCACGGGTCTTTTCTTGAGGAAAAACTTGCATTGATTTCCTGAGGTATTTTGGCCATGCAATGGTTGATGGCTTGAATTCAGGACAAAGTCACAGTACTCCTATCCCTATGAGACATCATGTAAGGATGAAAATTTAAGTCCAGCTAGCTGAAACAGCAGGAAGAAACTTAGAAGTCTCAAATGTATAATTTAAAAATATATCTATTTAGGTTTTGAACACAAATATCTTTATTTTTGGTTCTTTCAAACAGTTTAAGTTTGGCAATACTAAACACCTGTCTGCTCTGTTTAGTATTATTGGCATTGGTATTATTTGTATTATTGGTATTACTATGATATATTATATTATTATACATAGTCTTTCTATAGAATTGCTTTGCGTTTGTAAATGGTGAAACAATGCTAGATCTAAAGGATCCTAAACCCAAGCTGCAGTGTGATAAAACTATCAGCGGCAAGCACAAAATTCCCTTCTGTGCCAGTGCTTATTCCAGGTGGAGATTTTGTGGGCAGAAAAATTATTAAACAGTAAGTCTGTTTTTACCACAGTGACTGCATTTCTAAATAAATATTAACGGTCGTAATAGCTGTTTAATTAAGTTTATCTGAAAAAGCAGTTCAGTGAGCCACTACCTCACATCCCCCTAACCGAGGGGCTCGTTCTCCTAGGTGCCACGTCCTTGTCTCTCCTAAAGTCAGAATCTCACGTGCTAATACCCACCGCATTCATGAAATCTCATTTTTCTTCAGTGAGTGTTGTCAAGGAAACCTTCCTCAGGGCCTTGTGATCCACAGCTCCTTTGCCAGCATCCCTCGCTGAACCACAGAGGTCAAGAGACTAATTGCACAGGAGGTCTCTGTTTGTCACTGTCTCTCAGACATCTTTGGTCACTCTGGCCAAGGGATACAATAAGCCCCATTCTCTCCTCGGTTTGGTCCCTTTCCTCCCCAGGAGCTGCTTAAACCCCTTCTATTCACCCAGACATTATAGAGGCCTCCAACAGCAAACCTTATATCTTTAAATCATTTATGTTTCAGAAGCTAACTCTGGTCACTGCGATGGCCTGGAAGACCAATGCCTGCCAAAGGTCCCTACCAGCAGCTGGAGAAGTCCCCATCGCTGGTGGAGAGCCCCACACCAGGTCACTGCCCTGTAGCAGGGGCTGGCCGCTCCTGGGGCGTTGTGCTCCAGCAAACACAGCTTTCAGACTGCACCATGCCATAGCTGAGGATCGGGAGTTTTCCCACCCCAGTACCATCCGGCACAGAGCCTGGGCAGAATTAACCCCTCGGTGTGGTTCAGCACAACTTCCCTGCTGAAGCCCAGAGCATCCTGCTGTCAAACAGCCCGGTGCTGAGTCCTTACCTCCTCCTTCCCCCGGCCTGGCACCTTTGTGCTCTGGATTCTGCCCTCCCGGCGCCATTTTGTGTGTTGGCAACGATGCTCTCAGGAGTGCCGCTGCTTTGACCTTGATCCCTACGCTTTCTGCTGCCGATGCCTTTCAGAAATATCCTAGCTGCAAAGATGTGTCATTATTCAGTCCCACATGCCCGAGTGCTGTTTAGCATTCCAGGAAAGGCACAATCCTTGCTAAACATAAGGGATGAGACTGGCACTGAAGCGGTGCAGAAGCCTGTTTGTTTGTGTCTAGAGTTGAGGCTCCGGCTTCAGAAGGACGGAGGTTTCCTAGTACATCACATATAGCCACCAGCCTTGCTCAGCTGAAGACGTGGGCTACGCACAAGCATTCATGCACACAAACCTCTTGAACCTTTTTTCTCCAAGTGTTGGGTTGGGCCACGTAGTGGGCAAAACAGCAGGGGTGTGTGAAGGGAGAGAGAAGGCGCTGGGGTGTAAGGCAGTAGCTGGCAGTACTTT